CGGCGCCGCCGCTGCTGCTGCTGCTGCTGTTGCTGTTGCTGCTGCTGCTGCTGCTGCTCTGCTCCTCCAGGCTGTGACTCTTCTGCTTCAGTGAATTTCAAGACCTGGTGGTGCAGGAGATGTTGCGTTGAAAACAAACACAAATAATCACTGGATTTTTCAGCTGTGACCTGTTAGTCATGCAGAATGAATTTAATTAAAAAAAAAAAATTTTGGCAACAGCTTTTGAGGCAAGTCTCCACAAATGCGCCAGTCAACACCTGCTTTACTACCACAGCTTTTGATGACTGAGATTATAATGATCGGCCTATCAATCACTACGATGACATTTCCTTGTACTGTACTTGTATTAATTAGCTAATACTCTGCCTAAACAACAGTAACCAGACCTGTTCTTGAAAAAGAACAGGTCTGGTGATGTAAAAAAAATTTTTTAATTTCTAAAAATTAAAAAAAAAAAAATCACTTTTAGATGATGCAATACAGTAGTAGGTGCTTATATAGAGACAAAGATTTTTGATACTAAATCTTTATATATATCAATGACAATGTCTTTCACGGGTACTTTCACTTACCTTAAATAAATAAACTAAATGTTATATTGCATTTTTACTGTGATTACAATTTGGCCATATCCTCACGATAAATATTTAAATAACTTTTTTTTAAACCATTTTTTTCAAATGTATTAATAATTTAATAAACCAATATGTGATGCCAGACCAAATCTAAGGTGTGGTCACGGCGAACTACTCTGCGCCTGTGTTCTTACACAGGCGTGGCTCTCTCCTGCTTTTTCATTTCCACAGCCTTAGCGATGGAATCTAACAATGCGACTGACTGTGCCGTACCTCTGACATCTGCGTCTTTGTGTTGCCTCTGGCCCCCAGCATCACCATGGCCAGAGCCGAGGAGATGCTGAAGGGGGAGAAGAAGACATTGGCCGTCTTGTCGGTATTGCCCAGTTCTTTGAACAGATCCAGACAGAAGGTGGTGTTGGCCTGGGACAGGGTGCTGGATGATGCCATTATGGCTATGGAGAAAATGCTATTACAGTTAGATAGTTAGATACACTGATGCCATTATGGCTATGGAGAAAATGGTATTACAGTTAGTGCTGCACAACCAGCAGCTGCTAAAGGAAAAACAGAGAACCATATAACATAAAAACAGAAACGAGTGTTTAAGTAAACCATTCTGTTGTTACGGTCCCTACTTACAGGATTGGTTTTCGGCTCTGCGGCAGGCTCTGAAGTCACCTCTGAAGTCAGACAGTGAGCTCTCAGCACAAAGGCATCTTCCTATATCTGCGAACCGCTGCTGGACACACCCCCAGAAACACAAACAGGTTTTCTTCCTCATGATGAGGCTTATTAACGACAAACTCTGCTCACTATTCTTTACTAATACTTCTTTAAAATCATATTATAGTGACGTTTATAATGTCTTTATTATATTTGATACAATTGCAGATTACTATTGTAATTGTTGTTGTTTTTTTTTTATTTAAGTATCACCAAAGTAAATCCTCTTGGTCCTGTTGTCTACATCAGTGGTTTCAGCCAAAAAAATCCAAATGTTGTATTAATTGTGCATGGTGTATTTCAGATTTTTTTTAATTCCAAATGTTGTATTAAATGTGCATGGTGTATTTCAGATGAAAACGTAAATGTGAAAATGTGAATTTTCCCCGTGTACCACTCGAGAGCGCTAGCGTACCACCAGTGGTACGCGTACCACAGTTTGAGAACCACTGGTCTACATCAGTGAATTTCAACAATAATCCCGTAGAGCACCAGCCTATTAAAAAAAAAATGCTACACAGCGCCACCCACAGGTCAGGAGAGATTTTAGATTAATCTTCATGTCCCTGTTGATCTAATATTTACTCCTGACTTGTGATGTGATACAGTGGTAGGACAAGTTGGTGCCGAGCGGCAAACCTTTGCTCCAATGATTATCAGCTTATCACTGTGTCGATCATCAGTTGTTGTTGTTTTTTTGTTTTTTTGTTTTTTTTCTGACCCGTGACCCAATATGACATCGCATATTTCTGGCGACCGCAGAGACTTTTTATTTTCTAGATTTAGTTTTTGACCATGGTTGTTATACAGTGTTCCGTCTAGTATCGCGGTAGTTGCGTTCCTACTGTGAAAAGGGAAAAATCGCGAAGTAGAGGCATTTCTTTTATTCTTTTGTATTTATTTTTATTATTATTATTATTATTGTTGTTGTTGTTGTTATGAATTACTAGACAGAATTTTTCAGGTGACCCTGTGTTCCTAGAAAAACCTTGGGCAAAGGTGTGCCACCAACCTGTCCTGCCACTGTATCACATAACAAGTCAGGGGTAAACAGCACAGTCCAAATGAATGTATCGAGATAATTATCTGGGGGAATGGAGTTCTTTTCTTTTTCTTTTTTTTTTTTTTAAATAAATCCATTTTATTTCATGTGATTTCCAATTGAAAATTAAGACAGACTTTTTTTTTTTTTTTTTAAATTTTACAAACATTTTTAAATGAAAATGAAAATAAATGGTTAAAACATTTTAACCCTTTTGTCCCCAGGGACAATATTAGAGGGCTGAGATATTGGGTGTGTCAGGCAGGAGGACTTTTAAAGAGTTGCCACATCGAAGTCAGAGACTCTGTTCCTGAGACTCTCTACCTGAACAGCTGCTGCACTCCACCACAGTGTTGACTGTGAGTATTATACCTTTACTTCTGAAATAGTTTATGAATCTGTAAAGCGTCCTGCAAGATTAAAACAGTGTGTTCTGTCTGTGGGTGATACAGTGCCCCCGTCTGGTGCGGTGTGTTAAAAGGAAGTGTCATGTTTTCTTTTTAGACACAATGGCGTCCTCAGAGGCACTCTCACGAGCCAACACCGAGTTTTGTCTGGATCTTTTCAAAAAGCTGACCGAGAAGAACAAAACAGGAAATGTCTTCTTCTCCCCCTTCAGCATCTCCTCGGCTCTGGCCATGGTGATGCTGGGGGCCAGAGGCAACACGCACACACAGATGTCAGAGGTACAGCACAGTCAGTCACAGAGTAGTTCACCATGACCACACCTAAGATCAAGTAATGGTTTAAAGAATATTAAAAACGAATAATAATCTGACTTAAATAGTTCATGTTGCTACTGTAGGTTGTTGATAAATCAAACACAGGGGAAGTGAAGCGAACGGAAAACAAACAGAAAATGTTATTTAAACATTCATCATGATGAAATTATCATAGTAAAAATGCAATATAAAATGTATTTTATTTGTATTGTAGGTAAGAAAGTACCTGTAAAGGCTAGTGTCATATATACTATATATATATATATATATTGTACATATGCTGTGTTTATATATATATAAATTACATAATATCAATATATATGTATATATATATATAAATATATATATGTAAGTGGGTTTTTTTAAACTACTTTTTCTTCAAGAACAGGTCTGGTTACTGTTGTTTAGGCAGAGTATTAGCTGATTAATGTCGTCGTAGTGATTGATAGGCCGATCATTATAATCTCAGTCATCAAAAGCTGTGGTAGTAAAGCAGGTGTTGACTGGCGCATTTGTGGAGACTTGTCTCAAAAGCTGTTGCCAAAAATGTTTTAAATAAGTTCATTCTGCATGACTCACAGGTCACAGCTGAAAAATCTAGTGATATTTTGTGTTTTTTTTTTTTTTTTCAACGCAACATCTCCTGCACCACCAGGTCTTGAAATTCATTGAAGCAGAAGAGCGGGGGGGAGAGAAGCGCAAACGCAAACAGCAGCAGCAGCAGCAGCAGCAGCAGCGGCGGCCGTTTCCGACGGGGCATGTTTGCATCCATGACAAGCTGGTATACAACCTAGGTGGCGTGTTTTACCAACATAAGTTTTGGGCCATATCATCAAACTAAATTTCTTCATCACCCACTTTGTCGTTGTTATGCCGCTGCAGTGTCTCAACTGCAGTTGGTGATTGGCGTGACTGCCAAAACCAACAAAAATGTTGACTGACTAACAGGAGTGTCTGTTTGTTTTAGTTTTTTTTCACCAGCTATAATTTCTGACCTACTTAAGATAAAAGCTATTGCTCAATAACTACTTTGTTAAAACTAGCTTAATTCAGTGTTTTAAGCCAAAATGAACAGTGAGAGATATGTACTTTGCAACAGGAAGGAAAAATCAAAAGAGAACGTAGTTTATATTCTTAAATGCAGGTTTAATTTTTGATGAAGTTCCACTCTTGAACAGTGTCGGATTTTTAGATTGTTTTTTTTTTTATTTTATTTTTTTTTACTTTCTTTCACTCTTTCAACCAGGATTTTGTTTGTTGTATTTAGACAGCAGGTAAAAGCACAAAGCGGTCATTCAGTGGGGGGAAATTAATATGTAGCTTCCATACAAGTTGATGCACATTGTAAAAAGACAAGAACATTCCATGGCAGTTTTCCAAACCCTTAATTTAAGACCAAGTAAAGTGAGAAAGAACTTCCTGGTTCAGTAAGGACGTTCCATGATTACACTGAGGAGCAGGTTGAACCAGGGAGAATCATGTATGGTGACATTGAAACGTGATAGCCGTCTGGGACGTTTCTGCGATGACTGCGACTGTTGAGGAATCTTTGCAGTTATACAACCGCATTAAATCTGCTTTGTTTGTTGTAACTTGTTGTCGCAAAATACGGGTTCCAATTACCCACAGGTTTCTGGATATGCAAAATGGTAACATGTGGAGACACATTACTGAGCTGCAGTCATGGCACGCCACCTTAGATGATCGTAAAACCCACCGTGTCCCCAGTGCATTGCATCCGTCAGTTCAGGGGTGTCAAACTTGGAACATGGAAACACATGAAGTGTTTTTGTATCTTTTTATTTTTCAAAATTCATCGAGCGGGCCGGATTGAAACCCCGAGCGGGCCGGTTTCGGTCCGCGGGCCATATGTTTGGACCCCCCCCCCCCGTGTTTAGTGGTTGAAGATGAACTTCTTTGACCTGCAGTGTACATGTAATTACACCAAGCTTTACAGAATGTAATAATTGCTACCTGTTCATTCACAGCCAGAGGCGTGTGATGACTCGTGTCCCAGCTATAGGTGCTTTCCTGTATTAAACTGAAATGAACTGAGGCGCATCTTGCTGAACATAACAGGAATATGATCAGAGAAAATGACATCTTGTAATGTCACTGTTGCCGTCCGATATCTTCATAATCAGTCTTTCTTCATCTTACTTCATTGACCTCAGTGAATCCTACTGTTTTTTTGTTTGTTTTTTTTTTTTACCACACAGTGTCCGAAAGACAAGCAACTCAAGGATGAAGTCCACGATGAATTCAATAAACTGCTGAAAGCCCTCAACGAGCCAGACGGTCAATTCACCCTTTGTGTTGCCAACAGACTCTACGGCGAGAAGACCTACGAGTTTGTTGAGGTGATCGTTTGATGAATGCTGATGTATGCTTGATGTATGACTATCAGGATAGTATAGCAATATACCAAACAAAAAAAACAACAAAAAAAAAAAAGGTAGATATTTCAAAAAGGTCTGTAATTGAGATACTTCTGTCTGATTTTCCTAGTTTTCTTTCGTGGATAAAGAGATATACTAAAAATATGGTCTACCTTTTATAGGATTTCTTAAAGAATAGCAAGAAACACTACAGTGCAGAGCTGGAATCCGTGGACTTTATGAACAGCCACGAGGAAGCTAGACTCAACATCAACACCTGGGTGGAGAATCAGACCCAAGGTACAGTACCAGAGCCTCGACACGATGTAAAAAAAAAAACGACAAAATGCACTAATATTAAGAAGATTAAAAGCTACCATTTTGTAAAATGTGTTCTTCCGACACTCAGGGAAAATTAAGGACTTACTGGTGAAGGATGTGGTGGACAACCTGACTAGGATGGTGCTGGTCAACGCCATTTACTTCAAGGGCGACTGGCTGAAGCCGTTTTTGGAGGGCGAAACTAGGGATGACAAGTTCAGAGTGAACAAGGTGAAAAAGAATCTGAGTCAAACACGTGAACAAAAACAGAGGTAGTGGTTATCGCTCTTGCCTTACAGCAGGAAGATTACCGTTGGTTCGATCCCTGGTCTTTCTATTAAGAGTTTTCATGATCTCCGGGTTTATGTTTTTTTTTTTTTTTTTTATTTTCTTCTGTTGCCTGTTTTCAGAATGAAACTAAACCAGTGAAGATGATGCACCAGAATGAGAAGCTTTGCTTCAACCATGATGTTCTATTCCGGCTTAAGGTAAACAAGACGTCCATCAGAGAATTAGCCACTCCTTGCCTGAGCCAAAAAAAACAACGAGTTATTGGTTTTATTTCGATAGAAGAAATCTGTGCCTATTGTTCCAGTTTTTTGGAAACATCACTTATCCAACCAACGACGATCCTTACAAACTAGTTAATGTTACGTTGTACATGTAATGATATGTTGGTCACATTAAAAAAGGCCTGCAGCTAGTATGGGGTTAAATTGTCCCAAAGTTTTTACCTTTAAGAGTCACCTTTTATCACGTTTTGTTTGCTTCTGCCTAAAGAGTCACCTTTTATCACGTTTTGTTTCTAGGCCTTTTTGTTATTTCCTTAATGGTAATGTTTACGGGACAATGTTGTGATGTACAGGTCCTGGAGTTGCCTTACAAAGGCAGAGAGATCAGTTTGCTGATCCTTTTGCCCGCGGATATGGAGGACGATTCTACTGGTTTAGAAAAGGTAGGTACAGTCCAGGGTCTAGGTTTACGCACAAAACTACCAAATCGTGTGCGTTTCATGGTTTCTGTGTCTCAGCTGGAGAAGGAGCTGACCTACGACAACTTCATGAACTGGACGAGTCCAGACAGCTTGTCGACTTATGACGTGGAGGTGGGTCTTCCACGCTTTAAAATGGAGGACACGTATGACATGAAGGACGTCCTGGTCAGCATGGGCATGAAGGATGCCTTTGACGTCAACCTCAGTGACCTCTCTGGTAAGACGTACAGAATATTTGGTCCACAACAGGGGTGGTTCGGGGGTCACATACAGCCTAGACGTCAAGACCAGTACAATCATCACATAATTACAAGTATAATACGTAATATATTAAATTAAGTGTATTAGGAAAATGTTCATATTTAACGAAATATCTCTATATTTCTCAAGGCAGTTGTTACTACTTTTAGCATTTCTACACCATCTGTTGGGGAAACATGGGTATTGCAGGGAAAAGGCAGAATTATAATATATTTTTTGAAAAGTTTGGCGGGCCCAGATTAAAAAGCTGAACAGGCCGCATTCAGCCCCCGGACCTTAGTTTGCCCACGCCTGGGTTAGCGCATTAATATCTTATAGACTCCACAAGGTGTCAGTATACTCACTCTGTTATGATGCCAACTGCTCGTTGTGTTATTCCCTCTGTAACAGGCATGTCTCCTGGCCAGGACCTGGCCCTGTCCAAGGTCGTCCACAAGGCTTTTGTGGATGTGAATGAGAAGGGCACTGAGGCCGCTGCAGCCACAGCTGCCGTCATGCTACTGACCTGTTTTTTGTCACCCAGAGGCACATTCATCGCAGACCATCCTTTCCTCTACTTCATTCGTCATAACCCCTCCAACAGCATTCTGTTTGCCGGCCGCTACTGCTCCCCTTGAGCGTCGCCACGTCCTGTACACTCAGCATTATAGCGAATACCTATAGGACTGAGTGTAACTATTTACGCTGGATACAGTAGACGTCACATACAAACTGTAACGCGTCTGAACTCAACCATGTTGTTTCAAGTGTCGTTGCACATTAAATAAAGTCGGTCTCGCAAATATTGTAATTCGTATTTATTCTGCTTTTATCTCAAGGTCATCAGGCTAAAACCACACCGTTTGAACTACGTATATCAAAATGCTATTGAAGGATACTTTGGGATCTACATAAAGTAGACTGCAACCAAATGTTTGTTTTTTTCGAAGGTAAAACCGTGAAGGCTTCAATGACATGTGCTGCTGAGGTTACGTGTTGATGTTGCTACTCCTCCCCTCTCAGTAGAACGTGCAGTACAAATACGAACAAATAGCATTTAGTTTATCCGGTTGCTAATCTATATAGATATTTTAAAAAGCTACGTAGAAATACCCACTGTACTGAAGTCCATTTTGCTCATTTATTGAGTACAAAAAAAAACAGCTTTATCGGCGAGTCATTCGAGGACAAGGTCATAAAAAAACAAATTCACCCTCAAAAGTAGAGTGACCACCTTTCCCGCTTTACGTCGTATTGCACAGCAAATTTAGCTGTTCATATCGGTTAACCGACTTTCATGTTTTCGTCACGAATGGGTTATATAATCCACAGGAGTTGATGGTTTTACAGTGACCTATTTAATAATAATAATAATAATATGTTGTTTTGTCTTATCTGCTCATTTTATGTTAAATGTGGAAGTATTAAGATAATGCATCAATAAATATGTTACATTTTAAAAGTTTAGGTTATGTTTTGGGAACTATAGAGTTTGTGTTTGTTTTACGGAGGTAAAAGGCAGGAAACAGGATTGGCTTTAACTAACTGCGGTTGTCCCTCATTGCCCCACTTAAACCTGCTTCCTGTACCGCATTTTTGACTGTTTGGAGGTGGTCACCCTACGCAAGAGTCTTAACTCACCTCGTGTTTTACTGTTACTCTGTATTGTATTTACCAGCGCCCTCTTCTGGCCCTTCCAAAAAATGCCTGGTTAAAAATGGCTTCAGATTGAACTCGTATTAGAGGAACTCCACAAGAAGACATGGCACTGACGTTTTTTATTCATGTTTATTTTTTCCATTTCATGTTAATAAGCATAAAATACAACGTTTGGGTCCCCTTTGATATTTTTACCAGTTTCATGCAACTTCATGTTTAACATACTTCGGTGGCAGAGATACTCTTTGGCTGATACATTTTACAAAGTGCAAAAGGTAAACAGCTGTAAAAAAAAAAAGCGTACATATTTATTCTTAATTGAATTTTTTTTTCAAGTAGTTTTCGCTATATAAAAGCAAAGATTGGCCTTGCAGGACATTTCTCACCTCATGCATTTTCAGATAGAAACTGTAGCCTTTATATGGAGTGCGCGGCCTGAGCGTAGCCACGTGACACATTCACGCGGGGGAGCAGAAACGACCCACGAAGAGGACGCTCATGGTGGGGTTATGGCGAATGAAGAAGAGGAACGGGTGGTCAGCGAAAAACAACGAAGGAATCATTAGGGCGCGTTCCGCGACGATCGCGGCAGTGGCAGCCGCCGCCTCAGTCCCCTCTTCGTTGACCTCTACAAAGGCCTTATGGACAACCTTTGACAGAACCAAGTTGTTTGCTGGAGACAAGCCTGTTAGCGGAGGAGGAAAGAATTGTTTTTTTTCCCCCCAAAATAAGTGGTTTATTTAATACCACAGATATGATTGTGCTGTAATGTAACGTACGACGTACCGGAAAAGTCACTTTTCGATACATCGAAAGCATCGACCATGCCCATGATCTTCAGGACATCGTTCAAGTCGTAGCTCTCCTCCATCTTGAATCGAGGCAGCCTCACCTCCAACTCGGTTTGGCCCATTAAATCGGGACGAGTCCACTCCACGAATTTGTCATAGGTGAGCTCATTTTCAAGCTGTGGTGCGCAGCACATGGATCGAGACTTGCTGTGAAACAGTAACCCCCGACTTACAGCGTGCGTACGTACGTGCGCGTGTGTGCACATACCTTCTCTAAACCCGTCGTGTCGTCCTCTATGTCATTGGGCAGGAAGATGAGCATGCTCAAATCCTTCCCTTTGTAGGGCATCTCTAGAATCTGCCAAATCGGAAGCAAACAATCCAATATATCAAATACAATCAGAAGGTTGACTATAAAAATAAATTATATATTTTTAAATAAAAAAAGGACATTACTTGCAGGTTAGCCTCAGGAATAGCGGCAATGGAGAATTTACTCTTCTGCTGCATCATCTTCACTGGCTTCGTG